GAGTTGCCAATTTTGCCCCAGTCATATTTCTTGCTGGTAGCATGGACAATCGTCTCCCTGGGCACCTCCATCTACATGAATGTTAGGTAAAGCAATGGAAGAGTTGAGAAGATGGCCAAATGCTTTACTACATGCACAGCAGGGTTAAAGACACAGTCTAGACAGATCAACAAGACCTGGTCAACATGACTAAAAATTCAAAGTTAAAAGAAGACTTCAGCTTCCATCCATGATGAAGTAACAGGGACTGGATTCACTCTCCTTGCTTAAACTAAAACGTTGGACAAAACAGATCAAGGAACAGTTGTCACCCTGGACCACCGGACAGAGACCCCGAGAGCAGGGAAACAAGTGAGGCAAGCCGTATGACCGCTCACTGCCCGAAGTTTCCAGCCACAGTCTAGGGGCTCCCAGGGTTGGGGGGGGGGCAGCCAAGGCAGCTGGAGCTAGCAGGATGCCAGAGTACCAGAGAGGAGAGAGCTGCATAGAGAAAGCTGCAGCTGAATACTGATCAGAGTATGCATGTAAGGACAGTATCTGAGGCAGGTAAACAAACCCCTGGCCAGGAGCAGGTTAGAACAATCTCTCAGAGCTCACGCAGGGCCTGGAAAAGCTCCAGCTCCACCAACCGTAGTGAAAAACCCTGAGATAAGTAGAAGAGTAGTGAGAATTACTGCCTTTAGAGTCGGAAAAAAAAAAAACCTATAAAGGCTGCCCTGGGGCCACCTGACAAGGCTTCAAAGCAAGAACTGGCTAGATCTAATAAACTCTAAGTAACTACTACATCTCAGAACAAAGACTTAAGAGAACAAAACAGCAAAGAACCATGAGACAACTTCAAGTGACTTAATATATGTGCAGCTGGAGTTCAGTCAGACAGAAATATGTGAAGTACTGTGTAAAAATCTTGATAAATCTATAAATTCAAGAATATCAACAAACCCCAAGAACAAGAATGAAGAAATATACATCAAGGCACACCACAATCAAATTGCTTACAACCGGTAGTAAAGAGAAAACCTTTATTAAAGCGACTGGAGGAAAACTGTTATGTATAGAGGAGCAGAGATAACAGCGACAGCAAGGTTCTCGTGCGAAACGATGTGAACCAGACAGGACGGAGCAACGCTAGTGAGCACGGAGAGAAAGCACATCCCGTGCTCTATGGACAGCTTTTCAGTCGTCTGCTGATACAGGGGCAAGGTTTTGCTGGAGCCCCCACGCGCAGCGTGGCAGTTCAGAGGTGGCGCTCTAGTCGTCCTCAGTGAGGACTGAGCGTCCCAAAGACGTGCCTGTAAGCAGCGACAGCGCCACCCTGTGGCTTGCTCACACAGCACAACTGTTGGATACACGTGAAACATAACCAGCGGCATCCTGGGAGCACTCAGCTTCAAGTTTGGGCATTCAAACCTCAACACTGCTGTGTGCCTATTTCCCAGTTCTCAGTGAGCACTGTAACCATTCCTGCGTACTCAAGAGTGTGTGTGTGTGGAGGTGGAGGGGTGGTAGGGTGGGGGAGGAAAGGAAGGAGAAATAAGAGGAGAGAAAAGAGAGAAAGAGAAAATGGGAAGAAAGCAAAGGCTTTTGATCCAGTTAAATCTGAATTATTTTCTGGAGGTGTCAATTAAGTGAGTTAAATTTTACTTTTTTGTGTGCTTTGGCTAGTTTGAGTTGTATTTCTGTCATCTGTAATCAGCTGCCCCCGAGTAACATACTAACTTATGGCCTGCTTCATTCTATGAAATTTTGAGGCAGTGTATAGGCATTTATAGAAGAGGGAGAAAAAAAAGTGGAATGAAAGCAAAGCAGCAGGACAGCACAAGTCAGGGTAGTCACGGCACAGAAAGACGCATCACTGCACACTGCTTGCAGAGGCCCTTCCAGCACCAGCAAAGCTTGAAAGGCTCGTCCACTGCGACAAGTACTGAGGCAAACACTCTACTCCAGTCCTGTGAGGGCAGGTGCTTCCACCTTCATTGACACACCAGACAACTGAGGCATAGGGCTATTACCTAACTTGTCCAAGGTCAAACACAGCTGACAAACTCAGCCAGGAATCTGAATCAAGGAAATCTGGCTTCAGAGCCTGCCTTCTTAAACAGTACACTGTTACAAGTGATGCAGGAGTTTGGCTCTCAGCTTCCTGGCAGGAAAAGCCAAGCCATTTTAAACAATCAATGTCCATAATATACATATTAACATTCTCTGATCTGTCAGGGGACTATTACCATCAACCCTAAGTATTATGATGTCATTAAGATCTAAAGTGTTAGCGTTAGTCACTCAATCGTGTTCAATTCTTTGCGACCCCATGGACTATAGCCCACCAGGCTCCTCTATCCATGGAATTATCCAGGAAGAATATTGGGAGTGTGTAGACATTCCTTTCTTCAGGGGATCCTCTGGACCCAGGGAACAAACCCAGGTCTCCCACATTGCAGGCAGATTCTCTACCATCTGAGCCACCTTAATATCTAAGCTCTATATAAATACTAGCAGCTAAAGGGTAGCTAGTCAAAGCTATGGTTTTCCCAGTGGTCATGTATGGATGTGAGAGTTGCACCATAAAGAAGGCTGAGCACTGAAGAAATGATGCTTCTGAACTGTGGTGTTGGAGAAGACTACTAAGAGTCCCTTGGACTGCAAGGAGATCCAACCAGTCAATCCTAAAGGAAATCAATCTTGAATATTCACTGGAAGGACTGATGCTGAAGATGAAGCTCCAATCCTTTGGCTACCTGATATGAAGAGCCAACTCACTGGAAAAGACCCTGATGGTGGGAAAGCTGAGGACAGGAGGTGAAAGTGATGACAGAGGATGAGACGGTTTGATGCATCAATGACTCAATGGACGTGAGTTTGAGCAAACTCCAGGAGACAGTGAAGCACAGGGAAATCTGGGGTGCTGCAGTCCATGGGTTGCAAATAGGCAGACATGACTTAGCGAGTGAACAACAAAGCTAGGGGTTATTTAATGCTCATAGCTCATAACGCTTTATCCCCAAGAATCAAAATTCAGGCAGGAATCTTATCTTGTTCCCAGCAGCTCTTGAGAGATAACCCTTAGAGCTGTATTAGTTTTCTATTGCTGAGGTCACACACTACCACAAGTTTGGTGGCTTAAACAACACAGATCTACTATCTTATACTTCTAGAAGTCTGAAGTTGGAGATGGGTTTCACCAGGCTAAAATTAAGATGTCTGTGGGGCTGCAATCCTGCTGGTAGCTCCAGTGGACCAGCCCTTTCCAGCTTCCAGAAGCCACTTGCAACCCCTTGGCTCCTAGCCACCTTCTTCCATCTTCAAAGCCATTTCCAGCTTCCAGAAGCCACTTGCAATCCCTTGGCTCCTAGCCACCTTCCTCCATCTTCAAAGCCAGTAAGAGTGGTGGAGCCCTTCTCGAGATGCCATTTCTCTGCTTCTCTGTTCTGCCCTCAGATAATCCAGAATCATCTTCCCATCTAAAAGTCAGCTGATTAGCAATCTTACTTGCTTCTATAACCTTAACTCCCTTTTGCCATGTGACACATTCACAGGTTTGGGCATGAAGACTGGTCAGTTTGGAGGGCCATTACTTTGCTGACCACAAGAGCTAACAGTATTAAACATTTTACTATTATGCCAGATAGATACTTTGTAATAAGTAACTGATCAATAATGAAAAAGAAGTTAAGTCAACATATACAGAATTTTGGCTGAAAAACTTTTTTTTTTAAAAAGAAACCACCTGAAATATTGAGCTTCTCAGTTACACATATTATCTCTTTTGACCAGAATTAACACTGGCATTAGGCAGAGCCAATTTAGAATTTTCAGTCCCAATTTAGAATTTTTGGGGGATATTCTCAGGGTATTTTACAACATTATAGATCTCTGGTTATCTCTAAACATAACACCTGTATATCCTAGCTGATATAGTTAAAGTGCTCTTCGGTGTTCCACTAATACAGTATGAAATAAAAAATGATTCTGAGCAACAATTAATCATATTGAAATTATCTGAAACTTTGCTGAAGATATTTAGAAACTTGGATAATCTGACCAGTCTTTAAAATTTTCTAACAATTTTATATAATTAACCAATATCAAGTTAGAGAACTTAGAAAATAAATATTGCTTTTTCACTTGTAGTTCTAAAGATTCATGAATTATTCTAATTTCTACATTTTACTTGGGAAGTTTAATAACAGGGATCAATTTACATGGTCATTGTTAAAAACCTTTTCATCTAAAAGTTGCCTGATCTTTCCTTTATGTTTTGAAGAGGACATCTTTATTCCAAAAAATCTCAAAGTTATAATTTCAAGTGATCCTTTCTATATTTTCCCAAAATGAATTCATTAATTTGGTCTCTATATTTTTTAAAAGGGAATTCCACTTCATTAAATCCTTTTAGAAACAAATGACTAGAAGCAAAAATTCCATGGACAGAGAGGAGCCTGGTAGGCTACAGCTATGGGGTTGCAAAGAGTCAGACATGATTGAGCACACGAGCACATACATATACTCCTCACTGCCACTAGTATGTTAAAAATAATGTCTGATCCATGTTTCAACCTTATTTAAAAAGGGTACTCTGAATGTAGCCTTTTAATATAAATAGTCATTATAGGAAGCAATTTGCATAATTCTAGGATTCTACTAACTTGATTCTACTAAAGGAGAGAATCACTTACTAACCTGATGGTTATCAAATTTCATTTAATAGTGTCCTTTTAAATCATTATTATTACTTCCTGCATCCTGGAACTCAATTTCTGGTAAACATTTGGAGTGGATCTGGTAATAACTTGAGACAAATCAATATATGAAATAAACCCAAAAATTCCATGGAAGAGAAAAAAATTGAAACCCAGTAGTTTGATCTACAGTCTTACTGTCCATGTATATTTCATATAAACACTGGTAGGTTAATTTACACTTGGAATGCCATCAAATGTGCAGAAAGTATTAAAGTTTACTATAGATCCTACCTTTATTAAAATATAATACACCAATTGTAAATGTTAAATAGGTAACTTTTAATCAAGCAATACCAGCTACATATTGAATGCTATAAACATTTTAAACATTTGAAGAAAATACATATTTAAATGTTCATCTTACTATTAGTAAGACTCTAAACAATGTTACCTTTAAAAGTAAGCAATTAAAGAAATGTATGTTATCAGATAAAGCAGAAGAATAGGTCTTGAAAAGTGTTCCAATGTATACTCTAACCTAACAGAACTTCTTACAAAATGAACATAATCAATACAGTGACCATTTTATATTTAAGTAAACAGTTTACCAGAGCACAAACGGGTTCACTTTTCCTAGTGAAAACAGGGAAAATACATCTAAACCTATTAATGCATCACAACAGTAATTATTTTGGAAACTTAAAAACATACACATTACAAAATGTGTATCTGTAGATCCAGTTTGTTTATCTGTTATCCTATGGTCCAATATAAGAGTCTTAAGACAACTGAAAACTGAAAATAAGAACTTCAGATAGATTATATTTTTCACATATAAAATAATACTTTCTATTGGTCAATATTTTAAAAACTGACTTAACACAGACTTTTTTTGAATTTGACACCATTTTTGTCTCTGCTCCAAAACATGCAGCTTCAAGTCTCTAAGTGAGAAGTTTGAAATACAAAGTCTATAAACATTAAAAAGTATCTTTTAATTTATATATAGAGATCTATATATTGTCAAAACAACAGTTGCTAGATTTTAAGAGATGGCTATATAAAGTAGAATATTATAACAGCTAACCCCATATATCGAGCCTATTTAATTATATCATTTTGCTATTACCACAATTTTTTCCTAAGTGCTGGAGAACATTCTCTGTAGGAAGGAACTCATGCTTTCCAAGGAAATTCTAGAGGTCAAGAGAAGGAAGAAACCAACAATAAAATGTTACACTAAATCCAAAATTCCATAAAAGAACATAGTTATCAGTACACTTTATTACTAAACCAATCATTGTCAGTTAACTCATTTATCGTATCAATTAATACCATATTTACTTATACGCTTATATATGCTTGCCTGGTAGCTCAGGCGGTAAAGAATCCACCGGCAATGCAGGAGACCAGGGTTCAATCCCTGGGTCAGGAAGAACCCCCAGAGAACGGAATGGCAATCCATTCCAGTCTTCCTGCCTGGAGAATCCCATGGACAGAGGAACCTATCAGGCTACAGTCCATGGGGTCACAAAGAGTGGGAGACGACTGAGCGACTAACACTTTAACTTTTCAAACTTATTTGCCATTAATTTCTACCCCCTACTAGGCATATCACTAAACTCAGTAAATACTGAGATGTGGAAATACTGGATCATATAATTCTATTTTAATATTTGGAGGAAGAGTCATACCATTTTCCACAATGGCTGCACTATTTTACATTCCTATCAGCAATGCATGGGGAAGTTTCCAATTTCTCCACATCCTCACCAACACTTGTTATCTTCTGGTTTTGGCAGGAGGATAACAGTCATTCTAATGGGTGTGGAGTGAATATCCCATCGTGGTTTTGGTTATTTCCCTAATGATTAGTGATAATGAGCCTATTTTCATACGCTTATTGACATTTGCATATCTTCTACAGAGAAATGTCTATTCAAATCCTTTGCCCATTTTTAAACTGGGTTGTTGCTGAGCTGCAGCTATTCTTTATTATATTTTGGATATCAATCCTTGTCAGATAAATGATGTACAAATACTCCCTCCTACTCTGTAGGTTGCCTTTTCACTGTTGATAGTGCCGATGCACAAAGTTTTAAATTTGATGCAGGTTATCTATCTTTTCTTGTCTGTGTTTTTGGTGTCATATCCAAGAAATCAATGACAAATCCAACAGTGTGAGGCTTTTCCTCTATTCTTAGATTTTAGTTCTAGCTCTTGGGGTGGTGCTGGGGACCCCAACACAGTACATTTTACTCTCTTCCCAAGTCACCAGGTGCTCAGAACAGTTGCAGTACTTAATTATCTCTCAACTTACATGCTACTATTGTCTTATATTAATTACATTAGACCCTATAAAATACCATTATTCTTGTTTTGTGTAGTATCAGTTGATCTATACACTTCATTCTTCAATTTGTCTGCATCTCTGACCTTTCATCTGAAATAAGTTTCCTTCTTTCTAGAAAACACTCTTTAGTACTTTCTTTACTACAATGGGTCTTCTAAGTAACAAATTATCTTAGCTTTTAATTGAGTAAAAATAAATTTATTTCACATTTACTCCTGAAGGCTCTTTTTGTGAGTACAGAATCCTAGGTTGGTAGAATTATTTGACAGCTTCTGTTGAAAATCAGATGTCAGTTTAATTGCTGTACTTTTTTTTCCCTCTAGTTGCTTTATAGCTAGCGTTTCTTTTTGTTTTTCAGTTTTCCTATGTGTATGTGTCTGGATGTGCAGGTGAGCACCGCGTTTTTTATTTTTCTTGCTTATTCCCTTATTCATAAAGCTTTGGAGCTCATTAAATGGCTTTGATCGACTTTGAGCAGCTTTGCATGGTAGTCACCAGGATCACATTCAGGCAGTTTTTCTGATGTACTGAGGTCTTTTTATTTTTCCTGATTGGCATTTGAAAGTTTTACTAAATTTCTAATGTTTTATCATTTAAATTTTTTTCAAATACTGTATCTGTTCTATTTTCTCCCTCTTTTTATTTTTTGGTTAAAATTCCAGTTGCACAAATTATTAGAGGTTTTCTTGCTATATCTTTGTTTCTTCTCTTCTGTGTTTTTCACCCCTTTATCTCTGTGCTTCATTCCACAATTTTTCTGACCTTTCCAATTGTCTAATATGCTATAGAACTTATTAACTGAATTATTCATCTAAGTTATTCTGTTTTTCATTAATGGAATTTCCTTTAAAATATTTCCAGTTCTATCCTAAAATTCTTAACCCTGTTCTCTGTCTCCTTGAACATAGTACATCTGTATTAATTAGCTTTTGCTGTGCAACAATTAACTTTCACAGCTTAGTAGCTTAAAACAATGAGCATCTGTTTAGCCTCTGATTCTGCAGGTAGCAATGGGCTAGACTCCTCTGGGTGATTTGGCTCCCCTTGGTTGGGCTCACTCATGCCTCTATGGACAGCTGCCTGGTTGGTAGGTTACCTGCTGATCTGTGCTAGGTTCTGTCATGCGTTCAGGGGCAGGTGGATGCAGGATGCAATGCCTCGGCTAGCCTCCATGTACAGCTGGCCCTCCATATCTTCAAGTTCTGCACTTGCAGATTCAACCAACAATGGACTGAAAATATTTGAAAAAAAATTCCAGGAGGCTCCAAAAAGCAAAACTTGAAATCTACTGTGCTCTGGCAAATATTTATAGCATTTATATTGTATTTACAACTATTTGTAGTTATTTAGAATTGTATTATTACATATTAGAAATAATCTACAGATGATCTAAAGTATACAGGAGGATGTGTGTAGGTTATATGCAAGTCCCTTGGAAAGCAAGGAGAGCAAACCAGTCCATCCTAAAGGAAATCAACCCTGAATACTCAACGGAAGGACTGATGCTGAAGTTGAAGCTCCAATACCTTGGCCACTGATGTGAACACTGACTCACTGGAAAAGACTGGGATGCTCGGAAAGACTGAAGGCAGAAGGAGAAGAGGGCAATAGGGGACAAAGTGGTTGGATAGCATCACTGATTCAATGGACGTGAACTTGGGCAAACTCTGGGAGATGGTGAGGAACAGGGAGGCCTAGCATGCTGCAGTCCATGGGATCACAAGGAGTTGGACATGACTTGGTGACTGAATAATGCTATTTTATATAAGAGGTTTGGGTGACCTCTAATTTGGTATCTGCAGGGGTTCCTGGAACCAATCTCCCACGGATGCTGAGGGGTGACTATAGTCTCTTGTCCTCTAGCAGGCATCCTGGGTATCCCTATGTGGCTGCAGTAAATTTCCGAGAGAGCAGAGTGATCAAAGTCTCTTGAGGGCTAGGCTTGGAAATGACACAAGCAAGTGAAAAGGTCAGTCTAGATTCTAGTGGTGGGAGAAGAGACTCCATTTCTTGGTCAGAGGAGCGTACAAGTCACAAGGCAGAGGGGGCATGGTTACAGGGAAGGTATAACTGTGGCCGTTTTTGCAAACCATCTACCACATGCTGTTATTGTTCAGTCACTCAGTCGTGTCTGACTCTTTTCGACCCCATGGACTGCAGCAGGCCAAGCCTCCTTGTGCATGGGATTTCCCAGGCAAGAATACCAGAGTGGGTTGCCATTTCTTTGTCTAAGGATGTTCCTGACCCAGGAATCGAACCTATGCCTCCTGCATTGGCAGGCGAATTCTTTACCACTGAACCATCAGGTAAGCCCCAATCTTCTCTTACCCTGGCCCAATAATTCATAGTATCTTGATAGCTCTCTTGTGTCTTCAAGTAGGCACAGTCTTTATATTTATTCAGCTTTTCTAACTATTCGCTGTGGAAAGCTGGCTTTACTCACCCAAACATCTATAAATAGGAACAAGGCCTCATCCATTATTTTATAAACAGGGATTCTATGTTTGTATGTGGTAATTTAAAGTACATACACAAATTCTTTGAAACACCTTTCTTCAAGAGTGTGGATTCACATAGTGACTTGCACCTGACAGAATGTGGTACAAATGATGGAGTATGACTTGAGGGTGGGGTCACAAAAGACACTGCAGCTTCCAGCTTGCTCTCTCTCTGATGGCTCTTGCGCTGAAGGAGCCAGAGGCCATGCTGTAAAGACACTCAAGCAGCCTACAGCAAGGCCCACGTGGTGACAAAGAGAGGCCCCTGCCAACAGTCATGGGAAGAAGCTGTCTCAGGAGCAGGTCCTCCAGTCTCAGTCAAGCCTCCTGATGACTACAGCCCATGCCAGCACTTTGATGCAACATCACAAGTCACAAAGCTAAAACCACCCAGCTATGCCATTCCTGAATTCTGACCTGCAAACTAGGTGATGATAAAGATTGCTTAAGTCAATTAATTTTGGGGTAGCTAGTTCTGCATTAACAGTGGACTAATACAGTATGCTTGTTTTAGCTTTTGTAATATTATCTTATTATTTTCAATATAATTTTTATTTGAAAAGGAAATGGAATCCACAGCTTAAAATGTTTACTATTTAAATATGAAAGATATGACTGACTTACCTCTTATTGCTTGTTTTACTCCTAACTGGAAGCAGAGTTTTCCAAAACAGAGGAAGTCATTTCCACAATCGTATTAATAGATAAGCCATTCAGAAAACCTTTATGATTTACTCTTACTTCCTGAAGAGCATCTATAATGTGATCTCTATGCCAAAGGAAAACATACATGAGCATTTGTCTTTTCCAAAGTAGCACATTCAAAACATGGCTAAGTTATTGAAAGGAACTGTAGTTTTATACAAACTTTTAAAGCCAGTTAAAATATAACTGTAGTCATTACCTGCTAACTTCTGGATGTAGTTCAGCCAGTCTCTTCATGATCTTGGTAAAACTACGCAGGTTCAATGTATTTGGAGGTATGAATTGAATAGGTGTATCAGGTAATAATTTAGTAGATTCAATCTGTTTACAATTCTTCTTTACACTCTAAATAAACATTTTAAAGTTTTATTTAAATCAGTGATGATTACAGAGGCAATTCAGCCTATTCTGAATTTAAAAGTTACAAATAGTAAAATCAAAATTTCTAAAACATTTACTTTGAGATTATTTTTTTCCACCCAGTATATTTACTTGAAATGTATTTAGGGCCACTTATTTTAAAAAATGCCAAACACAGGGCAAGTATATGGGCTATGTTGAAATTAGCCTTTTTCAAAAAGGATTACTCATCTGACCCACAGGTCTCAGAAAATAATGTTAACTATTTTCTCAATTTTCCCTAAGATAGGACATAACTGGTTCTAGATGCATAGGAGAGAGGTTCATTCATTACATACAATGGATATCTTAGGCTTAGGGCATGAAGGCTTCATTCTTTTACCCAACCGGACAGAGAAAGGCTAGTCTACATGGTAATTATATATACATATTTATATCTTATAATCTGTGTCTTATTTACTAAACATTTAATGAACAATCTATATGCCCAGAACATGCTGGGGAGGGGGGAAATTAGTGCTATAAAATAGAACCATCAGTTATATATCTTATAATTAAACTGAAGAGACAAAATTAAAATGATCAATTAATTACTATTAACCATCCAAAATATCAACTACTTCTGCTTCACTGACTATGCAAAAGCCTTTGACTGTGTGGATCAAAACAAACTGTAATATCCTTAAAGAGATGGGAATCCCAGACCACCTTACCTGCCTCCTGAGAAACCTGTATGCAGGACAAGAAGCAACAGTGAGAACCAGGCATGGAACCACCGATTGGTTCAAACATGGAAAAGGAGTACATCAAGGTTGTATATTGTCACCCTACTTACTTAACTTATACGCAGAGTACATCATGCAAAATGTTGGGCTGGATGAATCACAAGCTAGAATCAGGATTGCAGGGAGAAATATTAACAACCTCAGATATGCAGATGATTACCACCCTAATGGCAGAAAGTGAAGAGAAACTAAAGAGCCTCTTGATGAGGGTAAAAGAAGAAAGTGAAAAGGCTGGCTTACAACTCGACATTCAAAAAACTAAGATCATGGCATCTGGTCCTATTACATCATGGCAAATAGATGGGGAAAATGTGGAAACAGCGTCAGGTTTCATTTTCTTGGGTCCAAAATCAATGTGGATGGTGACTGCAGCCACAAAATTAAAAAATGTTTACTCCTTGGAAGAATAGCTTTGTCAATCCTAGACATTGTTTTAAAAAGCAGAGACATCACTTTGCCGACAAAGGTCCATACAGTCAAAGCTATGGTTTTTCCAGTAGTCATGTATGGATGTGAGAGTTGGATCATAAAGAAGGCTAAGCACTGAAGAATTAACATTTTCAAAGTGTGGTGCTAGAAAAGACTATTGAGAGTCCCTTGGACTGCAAGGAGATCCAACCAGTCCATCCTAAAGGAAATCAACCCTGAATATTCACTGGAAAGACTATGCTGAAGCTGAAGCTCCAATACTTTGGCCACTTGACGCATAGAGCCAATTCACTGGAAAAGACCCTGATGCTGGGAAAAATTGAGAGCATGAAAGGGGGCAACAGAGGATGAGATGCTTGGATGGCATCACTGACTCAATGGACATGAGTTTGACAAAACTCAGGGAGATAGTGAAGGACAGGGAAGCCTGGCAAGCTGCAGTTCATGGGTTGCAGAGTCAGACACGCCTTAGTGACTGAACAACAACAATGCAAGTAGGCTATCAATTGTATGAAACCACTGTACATCCCATAAAAGTTCAACAAGGAAAGAGTTGACACTTTCAATCTAGATGAAAATTCATGGTAAGATATATAAAATATTAGATCTCCCAAATCACAATGTTATATATTTTAAATATTTGCCTATTGCCTTATCTCCTTCATTAGATTTAAGCTCTTTGAGTTGACCAGTCGTGTCCAACTCTCTGTGACTCCATGGACTGCAGTCTACCAGGCTCCTCTGTCCATGGGACCTTCCAGGCAAGAATACTGTAGTGGGTTGCCATTTCCTTCTCCAGGGGATCTTCCTGACCCAGGGATCGAACCTGAGTCTCCCGCATTGCAGGCAGACACTTAACTGTCTGAGGCACGAGGGAATCACCTTAACTCTTTAACAGCACAGATTTTTGTCTGTTTTGTTCATTGCTATTTTCCCGCTGCCTGCAATAGTGTACATAGTTGGTATACTATTTGCTAAATAAATCATTCTGATATAATAGTTAGATAGCAGTTGAAACCACAGAGAGGGTGGGTTTTCCAAGAAAGCCAAGTTACTAGTAAATAACAGTTTGTGGTGGTGGTGTGTGTTATTCAATGTCATGTCCAACTCTTTGCGAACCCATGGACTGTAGCCTCTGTCCATGGGATTCTCCAGGCAAGAATACTGGAGTGTGTTGCCATTTCCTTACGGACTGAGTACACTCTCCATGACAGGTATTGTTCTGTATTAAACTCATTTAAAGCTCACAACATTCGTGAGGCAGGAAAACTTATCCCCATTTTAAAACAAGGATGCTCAGACACAGAGGGTGGTAACTCGCCCAGCCCATGATGAGTAGGTAGTAAAGCCAGGTTATGAATCTGTTCTTCTTAATCATCACGCTCTACCTCTTGTTATAGACAATAAATATTTTATAAATGAATGAGTATAATGAAAAAATGTTAAGAATCTGAGAAGAAAGGTGACAGGAAGCTGCTAGAAAAGTAAGAGTACAATTTAACAAAGACGCAGTAAGAGCTGCCCTGTCCATAGACTCGAGGACAGCAGACTTCTGGCCTAGCCCAAGGTGCCCTATTTACAACACATGACCTTTCCTCTACCAGCTCCATGGCCTGCTGCCTCTGCTGACAGGACCAAGAGTGCTGTTATTACCTGAACCCATGAACACCAAAATCAGGCTGGATCAGATTCCCTGTCTAAAGAATGTGGAACTGGAACACAAAGCAAATGAGTTAGTTAAATGATGACAGGAGCTTGAACTGAAAAATACTGTAGTCAGAATTAAGCAAAATAAAGCCTCCTGGAGGGTGAGAGAAGTCATGAACAGACAGAGAAAGCCAGTGTGCAGAGAGAAGCAGAAGAAAGGCACTTCCAGGGATGTAGAGGCAAGAGACCAGGTGAGGGGCAGGTAGGAGCCACAGCTCCCAAAGCTCCAGCTCAAGTCCCCCTGTATCCCAACTGTAGTCTGTTTCCTTCCTTCCTATTATGGATTGAAGTTAAACACCAAGAAACCCATCCTAAACACCAAGTGTCATTAAATGAAAGGAAAAGAGTTTAAAGAAAGGAATGACCAACATCAAATGGGCTAAATGGTCAAAAAGAAGGAAGAGAGGGAGAAAGACCAATCATAATGTCACTATTGACTATAGAAAGAACAATATAAATAAAATTTTAAGAGACTGAAGTCAGATTATTACGATGAAGAAAAGGAATAACCAAAGAAACCCAGACATTGGATATAACTACTTGTTTGGGAGGTTTGACAGGAAAAACACAGAACAAATTAAGGACGGTCATGTCAAAAGAATGAAAAGTCAAGTGGAAATGTTGGCAGGATTAGGAAGAGCTGTGCATAACTCTAAGTGGAGAAAGGCCTATGAGTAGAAACAGAGTCACTAATGGTACAGAAAAACAATGGCATAACTCCAGGAATTAGTGGAAAGGATGGGATACAGACACAGAGAGAAGAGATCCCTTTATCTTATTTTCAAGGGAAAAAAAAAACTAAATTCATTTACTCAACAAATATGTTTTCCTTTCATCCATTTATTAAAAAGGAATTTTCTCTGATCTGTAGAGTCCAGCTAACTACAGTAAAAATCCAAGTAGGATTTTTTAATGGACAGTGACAAGCAGAATTATGAGACTTATGGGCAAAGACAGTGGAATAGCCCAAACAATTCTGGAAAAGAATAAAATTGGAGGACTAATTCTACTTGATATCAAGACTCATTGAATGCTATAATAATCAAGATATGTAGTACTAGTGGAAAATTTGAGAAAGAGGTAGAAAAGACCACTCTAGAAATAGACCCACACAAATATGGTCAACTGATTTTTGACGAAGGCACAAAGATAATTCAGTGGAGATCAGCTAATCTTTTCAACAACTATGCTAGAACAACTCCATACACAAAACAAAAACACAAACCAAAAGCCTCCTCAATTTATATCTCACATATCATATAAAAATGAACTCAAAATCTTTGTGACCATGGGTTATGCAGAGGTTTATGTAGAAATGTAGAAACAACACTAAAAACACACTTTAAAAAACCTGATAATTGCAATTTATCAACATTTAAAACTCCTGCTCTGAGAATACACTTAAAATAATGCAAAGTATAGGCTAGGAAAAGTATTTGAAAATTTCATATCTATCTGATAAATGATTTATCTTCAAAATATGAAAACCTCTTAGAACTCAGTAATAAAATGCATAAAGCTAGGTGAAAGAAGCCAGACTAATAAGGCTATATAATATTCTATTCATAGGATATTCTATAAAAGGTAAAATTATATTAAAAGGAACAGGAAACAAAGCAGAGCACACGAATGTTTTGAAATGACGGAACTGATCTATATCTTGATTGTGGCAGTGGTTACATGCCTATGTACATATGTCTAAACTCAAGACAGCAAAAAGAGTGAATTTTATTGCACGTAAATTAAGAAAGAAATCTATGGCATGCCTATAGGATGCCAGGTATATTCTCGAGCAGTACAGAGATAAGAATGAGTAAGCTTCAACTTTATCACCTTCCATGTGCCATTTAAAACCTCAACAAGGTAAAGAGGAGAGCACACATAATAAAAATGACTATATTTTATGGTTTTAATAATTATGAGATAAGGTTAGCTATGAAAAAAAGAGAATGACGAAAGTGTAAGTAGCCACTTACAGAGTAATACTGTCCAAGATAAAGAGATAAAAGACTGCACAGATCTGGCAAAGAGCCTAGCTAAGGAGAAATGAGTTTCTCTGCAGCAAGGTCTGCAAAGACCTGTTTCCTCCAGGAGCAACTGGAGTTGTACAGAAGCAGCCTAGTCCGGAGTCAACGTTAGAAACTATTCAGATTAACGTCCTTATTCCCATTTCATGATGCTGTCCTAGAGTTATTTGTCTACAGAGTTTCTTATTGAAATATAGCATACGAGACAACCACTTAAGGGCTTGGTAAAGAAAACTAACCTTTTGGTCAAAAGGGAAGAACTCACTGTCTTGCTCAGACCCCAGCTGTCTCGGCCGAGTTCTGGGCAATCTAGAAATAGAGGAGGGTGAGCTGATTTCTTTGCTGGTGCTTTTTTCCGAATTACTGAAACTAACTTTATTTCCATTTTTGGAGGAAAGTGGTGATGTATATTCTCCAGGAGTTTTGACAAGCCGCACATTTACTGATTTCCCATTTATTTCTATACCATTCATTTCTTTCACAGCCATCTTTGCATTACTGTTTTTTTTAAAAGCAAGAGATGCATATCTAAAACATAAAAGCAGAAAACCAAAAGGTTCTTGTTAATAACTTTAAATAGCCTTAAACATTATTGTGTAATAATTGGCTAGTGTGTATCTTTCACAATAACTATTGGTCTTAAAAATAAAAAAGTCACTGCACTTACCTTGGGATCAGGAAGAATACTTAAAAGACAACTAAATAAAAAACAACTCAAAGATGGAAAATAAAACAGCATTTCTTCTGAATTATCGATTAATTTTATATAAAAATTTAATGTAAAGCATTTGCAAAGTTCATACATGACAGAGTTACTACACAGATTAGTGTTCTCAGGACAATTAGTTATCCACATTAAAAAATTAAAATCCCTATATACATAAATGTGTCTGAGAGATACATTGAATACATTGAAGGCTTAAATGTGAAAGGAAAAATTTAAAAACATTTAGCAGAAAATAGAAGAGAATGTCCTATGGTCTTGTACTGAAAAAATACGTAGTCCAAAAAGAGTTGGAAAATCTAACCAGAATTTTAACTTTCTAAGTGAGAAGGCTGGGCAAGAGCCCTTCTTCTGAAAGTGTCAGCTCTAGACAGTGTAAATGCAAGAATATATATCAACTCTGAAGGGCAGATGTCTTCAAAAGATGGGACCATGATAAATCTTTGTAACCTCCTTATATTTTTGTATTTAATTATATTTCCTAAATTTTCATACAGAATGTATAATACTTCAAGGAATAAAAATACATAGTTTCTCTTTTTCAAAGGATTCAATAAGACACTAAAAGAATCTTTCACATCAAGTATAATAGTAATAATACTCCTAGGAGCACAACACTACTTTTAATATACTGAAATATATTAACATATTAATAGGTCAAAAAAAGCATATGATCCTAAGTCTATACATTTAAGAGAAAATGAAACACTTACTTTTAATAAATTTCAACCTAACTACAAATGGAATCCTTTTAAAATGTATTTTAATTTTTCATATCTGAAATAAAAAGCTATACTTTTTTGTGATAAAACACTAAAGGCATTTCCATTAAGCTATCACCATTTTTATTTGATACTTTTGAATGCTCTGATGTCACAAAAAAGGAAGTAGCAACATATGTATTAGAAATGACTATCTGTAGAAAATATAGTCTACCTAAAAAATAAAGTATCAACTGAAAAGTAATTAAAATAATAAAATTGAATATAATTTTCTGAGTGTCCATTACATGCCAGGCATTATTTCTAAAGGCTTACTTATTTACTTCATAACAGTTTCACAGCAATGCTATGCAGGTCCCATCATTATCCTCACTTTATAGATGAAGAGTCTGAGATACAGAGAGGTTAAGTAACTTAACCAGCCTTATTCATCAAGGTGCTGACGGAGCTGGGAAGTGAACCCAAGCCACCTAACTGCAGAGCCTGTTCTCCTAACATACTCTACTGCCCCCCATGAAACGGGAGGAAACAAGGTAACTGCAGAAAACCCAGAAACCCTCCTGTATCTCATTAGCAACACATAAAAAAGTATATGAAAGACAGACTTGATTAAGAAGAGCACCCATTAATGACTGCAGCTATCTGTCAATGTGTATTCCTCTTCTGGGCTGTCAAAGTGTTAGAATTAATCGCTTGGCTGTGTCCGACTCTTTGTGACCCCATGGACTGTAGCCCACCAGGATCCTCTGATTATGGAAATCTCCAGGCAAGAATACCAGAGTGGGGTGCCATTTCCTACTCTGGGCTGCAAAACTCCTGGTTTAATCACCAAAGTGGTTGACATTTAGTACAGAGAAGACCCCTGATTAGACCTACACACACCAGACACCCAGTAAAGGTACATTTATTGAATTTGGGAAACATACCTGTAATTAGGAGAAGAGTCATAAATTGAAATGTCAGAAATTTCGTATTTCTGGAAATAAGACCTTAAATCAGCCTAAAAGAAGATAAATAAAAGTTTGTGAAAGGCAGAACAATCAAAATATGAACACTGATAGATCTGAAAGTGAAGCTCACAAAATAAATCCTGGCATACCTCAGACACTGAAGGGCAGAGACCACCAACATGTATCAAGTAACCTTTATCTCTTCGTAAGGGTTCCACATTCTTTATTTCTGCTTGTAGATAAACATGATATACAGCAGAAGATAATCATTATTGTATCAATATTTTTAAGAGAGAATGTAAAAATTGTTAAAGATTTCATTTTTTATTATCACAGAGATTATTATAAAGCTATTAGCAAATATCAGTACTAGGCTAAAGAGTAATAGCCTGAAGTATAGTTTAAAAATATCTGGGATTTAATCATACCATGTTAAAAATAAAGAGGTTGGATTGGTTGATATTTAGTCCCTTGTGGCTCAAAAATGGATCAATAACATCTAATTAATTACATCAACCACTAAAAAAAGTATCCTCCATTTATCTCTGATTCAGAGAGTGCTATCGAGGATGTTGGAGTGCTATCCAGGATGCTCTGTGTGGATGCTGGTGAGGGCTCTCTTTACATACATTCCTTTGCTAGCAAAACATCATACTAGGGAAACCTTTAGATCAGACAAAAATATCAACAGCAGGTATTATTTTAAAAAACATAAATATTGGAATTATAGATTCATTTGATGACATTTTCATGATTTCTATTTTGAAGCAAACCTGGTCTGAAATCAAAAAGAATTTAGTAAACTGAGATTCTTTCAAGTTACCACCAAAATCTAAACCTGGCGCATAGAGGGTGAACAATAAATATCTGAGGAATAGATTCTTAGAGTAGTTCTATTTGCGATTTATAACTATTTATGAAATAGGGTATTGGTAAGTTTTATTTTTTCATTAAATAATAATAGTAGCATAACACTTCTTGAGTGCTTTCCATGTTCATGCAATATGCTAACACTTTATATGCACCATCTCTTGCAATGCTCAGAGCTACCCTGTTAAGTTGCAACCATTACCGTGTCCACTTTCCAGATAAGGATACTGAAGTCTTGGAGTTTACACCACAAATCCAATAAGCGGTGGTGCTGAAATTTAGGCAGAATCCTTCATCTTTAGGCAATTAATACCTAACCTTCTTCATTAAGTTACTTTAAGTTGTTATAATCTCTTTTGTTTATAATGTACTGTATAGACAGAATGAATTACTTATCTTTATAATTTTACATTGGGGTGTGGAGGGAGCAAGGAGCTACAATATAGTAGAAAAGGCAATAAATAAGAATCAGGAGACATATATTGTACCCATCACCTCACCTTCACCAGTTTAGCCTATCTACTAAATACCCCATGGGTAGAATGCTGTACCTGGCACTGGGCATAGGCAGTGAACTAAACCTCACTGAGTTGATATTTTGAGTGTTGGAAGGCAGTTAAAATATCAAGTAAGCAAACTACACAGCATTTGGTAAGTGATACAGAGAAAAATAATGCAAAGAAAGAAAAAAGTACTTACAATAAAACTAGACAATATGATGCCATTTAAACTATATATGTATATTAAACATAAGGATAAAGAAACACATTGAAGAATGGTAATGAATATTAGTAGTTATTGCAGCTTAGAGACACTTCAGATAATTTTAACTTTTATATTTTGCTTAAAAATCTTAAACATTATTTATAAAACAGGGAAAAAAATAAAAGTATCCTATTATGTCAAAAGAACAAAAATCCACAGAAATATATAAAAGAAATAGGAGAAAATAGCATATAATTAGAAATGACAGAGAGGCAGTAATCTCAGCTACTAGAGGAAATTCCAACCTTCATAAGCAATTAAATGCCATCTAAAGATGAAAACATGTTTGAAGTGGACTAAGTTATTAGCATGTGGCAAGCAAACGGGAATAAAATGTTAAAACAGTGTGCCCCCCCCCAATAATACAGAAGAAGGTAAGCACTATCTTATGAATGAGCTAGGTTAGGGTTTCTCAGTAAACTTTTAAGAACCAACCAAGTGTAAACTTCCGGTCCCCTTTGTCTTGTTCTATCTGATTTTCTTGTATGCCTGAGAAGTCTGCTCCAGTCAGGTTCTCTTTAGCATCAAACCAGTCTTCATTTACTTCTCGGCAATTTTTGCAGTCTGAGAAATTGAACAGAATTAGCAATGAGTTATACATAACGTTTAACATTGGGATGTTACCTGAGTGATCTGCCTCCCAGTTTTAATTAACATGGATTCCTAGCTTATTCAAAGTCTTACTTTCCTGATTACAAAAAATTATTTATTTATGTCTGGCTGCACTGGGTCTGGGGCTGCCTGTGGGCTTTCCCAGCTGCAGTGGGCAGGGGCTCCTCTTCACTGTGCTGAGCAAGCTCCTCACTGTGGCGGCTTCTCCCGCCGTGGTACACAGGCTCTAGAGCTTGGGTTTCGGCAGCTGAAGTACATAGGTTCAGCTGCTCTGCAGCATGTGGGATCCTCCCAGGCCACGGAGCAAACCCCTGTCCCCTGCACAGGCAGGTGGATTTTTAACCACCGCACAACCAGAAAATTCCCGTATTTTTATGACTTTTAATTACCCTTTACTGAAGAAGAAACATCTTTATAAACAGAATAATAGTAAACATCTGTAAAAAGGGGTTAAGCAGTGCTACAGGTCTTTATTTCATTAAAAATTGAATTAATGATCTTTCTGGAATGATCATAATCTTTTCACAGAGAAAACTTAAAAAAAACAAACCAAAAACCACACAGTTTACAGAGATATAAACTGGACAGAAAAAAGAATTTTTGAATTGGAAAACATGAATCAGAAAAATAAGTCTGTATTATTATTTGGCATTGTCAGATATATTAAGTAACCTTAAAGGTATCAAGTAGATGTAATAAGAACATACTTAACATTCATAATCAGAATTTTGTCACTCAGTTAATTAAAAAGTTTAACTTAATAGATGGGCAGAAGGGATATTTTAAATTTTATTATTTACTTTCTGGCAATAACACAAGACAAACATTTTTATACTAACCTTTATCATCAAGCTTTAGTTGACTCAAGTCTACATCTATATCACCATTTTTTGAACCACCCTTTTCAGGTGATTTATTTTGTGTAGGATGACCATCGTCAAGTAACAGAGATGTCTGAGGATTAATAACAAAAACAAAAATAATAAATAAGGACTAACAGTTATTATGTACTCTATGTGACAGGTACGCTTTACTGGCATTATTTATCCCTCACAATAAGAAAGGCTAAGAGACAAAATCATTACCAACCCAATTCACAGATGAGCAAACTGAACCTAAGTAACCTGTTTATTTAGTCTTATGTCTGTCACACACAAGAATTATGATTTGAAACTAGCTATACAGTGGAAGCAACAGTTAGAACTGGACATGGAACAACAGACTGGTTCCAAATAGGAAAAGGAATATGTCAAGGCTGTATATTGTCACCCTGCTTATTTAACTTACATGCAGAGTACATCATGAGAAATGCTGGGCTGGAAGAAGCACAAGCTGGAATCAAGACTGCCAGGAGAAATATCAATAACCTCAGATATGCATATGACACCACCCTTATGGCAGAAAGTGAAGAAGAACTAAAGAGCCTCTTGATGAAAGTGAAAGAGGAGAGTGAAAAAGTTGGCTTAAAGCTCAACATTCAGAAAACTAAGATCATGGCATCCAGTCCCATCACTTCATGGCAAATAGATGGGGAAACAGCGGAAACAGTAGCTGACTTTATTTTTCCAGGCTCCAACATCACTGCAGATGGTGATTGCAGCCATGAAATTAAGAGACGCTTACTCCTTGGAAGGGAAGTTATGACCAACCTAGACAGCATATTAAAAAGCAGAGACATTACTTTGCAACAAAGGTCCATCTAGTCAAGGTTATGGTTTTCCCAGCGGTCATGTATGGATGTGAGAGTTGGACTATAAAGAAAGCTGAGCGCCGAAGAATTGATGCTTTTGAACTGTGGTGTGGGAGAAGACTCTTGAGAATCTGTTGGACTGCAAGAAGATCCAACCAGTCCATCCTAGGGGAGATCAGTCCTGGGTGTTCATTGGAAGGACTGATGCTGAAGCTGAAACTCCAGTACTTTGGCCACTTGATGCGAAGAGCTGACTCATTGGAAAAGACCCTGATGCTGGGAAAGATTGAGGGCAGGAGGAGAAGGGGACAACAGAGGGTAAGATGGTTGAATGGCATCACCAACTCAATGGACATGGGTCTGGGTGGACTCCAGGAGTTGGTGATGGACAGGGGGGCCTGGTGTCCTGCAGTTCATGTGGTCACAAAGTCGGACACGACTGAGCGACTGAGCTGAACTGATACAGTGACTGCATGTGAGGTGGTAGTGGTTTAGTCACTAAGTTGTGCTTGACTCTTGCGACCCCATGAACTGAAGCCTGCCAGGCTCCTCTGTCCATGGGATTTTCCAGAATTCCAAAAATACTGGAATGGGTTGCCATTTCCTTCTCCGGGGGATCTCCCTGACCCAGGGATCAAACCCAGTTCTCCTGCATTGCAGGTGGTCTCTTGCATTGCAAGCGGATCCTTTACTGACTGAGCTACCAGGGAAGCCCCTGTATGTGAACACCATTATTATTTAGCAAAGTGTTACATTCACACACTAGAAGTACCTGAGATGATTTTTGGAGGTATGCATGTAAGTATTTTTCACATTGATATTTAAGTTATATGTTTAATGTATGCTTATTTATACCTTTTTTTAATGGGGAGTCTAATATTTCTTTTCCACACATAAGTTACTCTTCACATATAATTTTTTTAAAAGGAGAATCATTTAAAAAAAATACAGAGCAAACAACATTATAGGTAATACAAGACTAAGAAAAATTATGAAGAGGTATGTAAGTAGCTGAAATTTAGAAACATTGCATACTTTCATGTATAACTTAATGAGACAAGTATTAAAAAGTAATCCTAACTTAAAGAAGATATTGTTTCAGAATCAAAATTAAGATTATAAATGTTATCCCTGCTTCTTGTACTTTTAAAGATTGTTCTGCCCAAATAAGCAGGTTACACCATTGCTACCTTTATTAACGATGAAAAACAAAACCCCTCCAGAACATCATATATCATTAAATGGACAAGTTGATTAAGCAAACTATTTAAGTTATAAAAATCTGATTTTAGACCTGTTAATTCTTTGTGGATAATTGAGATTTTCTTTTTTTAAAGAACAGAATGATGGAATAACTAATTTGCTAATTTATTTTTAATCATTTATCTTAACAGAAAGGAATATAAACCAATCAAGTATTTATTTCCCTTTTGGCTTTGGGATGCATCGTACTGTTTATAACTACCCAAATAATAATATAACCACAGGGTTAAGACCAAAGTCAGAAAGCAGAAACAAACTTCAGTTTTCTTACTCCATTGATAGTGAATATAATTCATGTTTCTCTATCACTTCAGTTTTCAAAGTACTCTTACACAGACTGCCATCTGACAAATATCAATTAAGAAAACCTATGAAAATCATTTAAAAACTATTTTAATCATTTTAGCAAAGAAATAATGAAAACTTAGCTCCATCTAAAATGAATTGGATATTATTTTATACTACGTCATGAGATGAAGGCATAGCATATTAGTTTTCACTACCCTGGATTAACATGATGGGGACCATAAACTATGATCTGCCAGAGACAGTCAAAGTTTTATATTAATTGTCATGGTGAATTATTAACATCACTACCTTTCATCCCCAAAGTCTCCTGATTTGATGACAAACTGTGTGGTCATGTTACTCAACATATGCTACTGACATCCATTTGATCAGGGCATTATATTCCTTCTAATCAGCCACAGTCCGCAAATAGTAGTATGATTCTTTAGTAGTATGAACCACCAGGGGAGCCCCAAAGTAAGCCAGCTGAGTGAAAAGAAGGATGTGAAAGCTCCTAAAAATTAGTTTACTTTGTGCAAGCCATAAAATTAAAGACTTATATTGATGAACTACTTAAAAAAAAAATCTCACTTGAGAGAGTGTCTTCTTTAGGCTGGAAGAACCAACATCATGTGTACTTTGATTATCTAGTTCAGAATCTGCTCCTGAAAAGCTAAACAGATTAACATTTCATTAAAGCATTTATCAATATTCTGAATACGGAATAAAACAGAAAACAAAGTTAACTGAATTAACCAATTTTTAAGATTTAATAAATTTCAAATTAAATGAATACTTACATACGTGACTCTTCTTTCATTAGCTGCAAAGAGAGAGAAGGGAAGAAAAAGCTTTTAGTTTAAAGTGTTTCCTGTCCAAACGAAGTAAAAATTTTATTTGTAAAACATAAATACATACCCTGGAAGCAAAAGTAGAGAAGGCAGATAATAATCTTGATTCTATTGACAAGGGAGGCAGTTCTTCTAGTGGTATACCCTTGTTTATCTTTTCCTTCAAATTCATGTATCTAACTTTTAAGTCTCCTAAAACTGACAGTAGTGCTGATCCTAATTCCTTCTTAGTAGAATTACTTGATAAATTCCTGTTCAAAAGTTAAGTTCACAGAACTAAATTATTTAGGCCCAAGCCATCCACTTAAAACTAATATCAAATTACACATCTATATATATTTACTTCTAACTCTAACAGATCTCTAAAAAATTTTTATAAATGTTTAATAACAGAAAATGAATCACAGAAGATATGCTTTTCTTGGGGCAGTAAAAGCAAACCTCAGTATACAAATAAGCCAGAAAGAATGTGGTAGAATGGCATGAAAAACACTCCAACTGACTTCATCCATATTTGGACTTTATAAACACAGAATCGTCTTTTTACTGGATTTATTATCCCAACATGCACTGTTGCCTGTCCATGAAATTAAAATATACTACATTCTAATCACCCTGATGCTTTGAAAAGGTCTTTGAAAAGACCCTGATGCTGGGAAAGATTGAGGGCAGGAGGAGAAAGGATGACAGAGGATGAGATGGTTGGATGGCCTCACCGACTCAATGGACATGGGTTTGGGTGGACTCCGGGAGTTGGTGATGGACAGGGAGGCCCGGTGTGCTGCAGTTCATGGGGTCACAAACAATCGGACACGACTGAGCAACTGAACTGAACTGAATTACCCTTAGGCTAGTTAAAAACCCAGTTACAATCTACCCTCTTTTTGCCCTTCAAAAATGAAAACTAAAGAAATTTTCTAGAATAAATTTATAATGATAGGTTTCTAGGAAAATACAGATTTAAAATTAACAATCACCTATAACTACAAATAAAGTATAATCTTTAAAAACTGTGAATCACTATGATATGTACCTGAAACATATAATATTATAAATTAAAGAACAGGTAATAAACAAAAAAGCCCTAACAGTCACCTATTTAGTCCTTCCTTATCTTCCATCACAAGTCTGTAAATATCGCTGCAATGGCGACGGCACAACTGATAGTGAACATTTAAAAGATGCGACTCGGCTTGGATGGCTCTCTGCATTATCTGCTGACAGCACTTCGATGGCAAATTCTTCTCTACCTCTTTAGGAAGCTGAGGTTCCCTTTGAAACAAAAAATTGGATTAGGTAAGATTGCAAATATGTTTCTGTGTTAATGACAAAGAAAGCATCCAGAAACAAATTTTAAACTTCTATAGTTTCTCTGTTAAGTTTAAATCAATTTCCACTAAAGATGGAAAGGCTGTAGAAAACAAGGATGTCAAGAGTCAAAGCTACATATATTCTTTTTAGAAGAGAGTAAATAATTCTCAAATTCATACTTCTTTTTTTTAACCAAGAAAAGAATTCTAAAATAAAGTACTAACTTATTTATCCAGAATCAATAGATTTTCAACTTAAATCAAGCACTGGTTTTTAAAAGTTATAAATATTCTGGAGGAAATGGTTTTTACACATTCCCATTTAAACAGAAAATATAATTTACATTCTAAAAATAATAATGCTTGTGTTAGTATAAGTACTTTGCCGTTATCATATCAAAAAGCTCCAATATCACTACTTCTTTTGAATGTTAACAGTTCTTCCCTTCCTACTAGCTGCCACTTCTAACTGTTCTCAAATACTTCTGTCTCTTGAAACCAACTATTTAATTTTATAGGACTGGACACAGGATTAAACTCATTAGAAGTATAAGGATAAATGAAGGAAAAAGTCAATGACCTCAGAGCATGAAAACTAATTTGACTTCTCAGAGATCTCCCCCTTTCTCTCCTCTTCCCCACCACCTGGTTCTCCATGAATGCAAAGTAAATTATACAATGAATTAAAATCAGGACTAAAATACTCCAGTACAATATTTATTTATCCAATATATGATTTTTGTCCAAATGTGCTATCTTGTTTTGGTCTACAGGGGATCGAATGATAGAAAACAAAGTAATTAAATCAGTGTGAGTCTGGGTTGGATAAACAAAGATGACATCAGCTTTCTGAAGGAATTATTCAGACTTAAATTTCAGTAAGTGAAAAGCTTTAATGTTCTATATTATTCTAATATTCATGTGTTTCAAGACAAAAGGCTGAAGTGGATGATCTCTTCGGATCCTTCTCAGCTATGATTCTATATGGTTAAGTACCCTATGGGCTTTCCAGGTGGCACAGTGGTAAAGAATCTGCCTGCCAATAAAAGAGTTGCAGGTTCAATCCTTGGGTCGGGAAGATCCCTTGGAGTAGGAAATGACACCTGCTCCAGTATTCTTGCCTGGAAAATTCCATGGACAGAGGATCTTGGTAGGCTACCAGTCCATAGGGTCACAGAGTCAAATACAACTCAGTGACTGAGCATGAAAGTACCCTACACAAAAAGCAAATTTCTATTTTATTTCCTCCTGTGTATTTTGGGCTACCTGATGCGAAGAACTGACTCACTGGAAAAGACCCTGATGCTGGGAAAGACTGAAGTCAGAAGGGGACAACAGAGGAAGAGATGGTTGGATGGCATCACCAACTCAATGGGTATGAGTTTAAGCAAGCTTCAGGAGTAGCTTAGACAGGGAAGTAGATAGACAGGGAAGCCTGGCATGCTGCAGTCCATGGGGTCGCAAAGAGTCGGACATGACTGAGTGACTCGCCTAAGCTGATATATCTGCAAGCATATGTTCAATGGAAGGACTGATCCTGAAGCTCCAATACTTTGGCCACCTGATGCAAAGAGGTGACTTGTTGGAAAAGACCTTGATGCTGACAAAGAATGAGGGCAAGAGGAAAAGGGGGTGACAGAGGATGAGATGGTTGGATGACATCACCAATGCAATGGACCAGGAGTTTGAGCAAATTCTGGGGGATAAGTGAAGGAGGGAAGCCTGGCATGCTGCAGTTCATGGGGTTGCAAAGAGTTAGAAATGACTCAGTGATTGAACAACAACAATCTGGAAGTATATACATCTGACTTACCTTTCAGAATGTTTCTTTAAGTCTGTGAACTCAAATGGTGTTTTTAACCCCAGGGAATCCTGAAAACATTATTTAAAATCAAATTAGACATATATGACAACCAATACATGTTGTATCTGTTAAGATGTAAAATCCAACTTCTAACTGATTTTGTGGCAATAACTGCCCCCAGAGAAGAACACAGTTGGTAACAATCTAGTCACCTTTTCCCTTCATCCAGCATTTTCTCACCAAAGCCTCAGAAATCCCTGACATAATTCAATGAACCAAAAAGTCTACATTAGCATACAGTACCTTTATAAAGTCAATATATACATTTTTATTATTAATCATATTGGTTTTACCTTATTTAGGACATTTCCATTAGGTTTTAAACTGTCAACGGAGAGAGATTTCCCTGAAGGTCCTTTTGTCATAGCCATCTGTGGATCTTCAGTATCATGAATGTATGACCAATCTGTGTTACAAGCCACACTTCTTTGTTTCTCACTCTGCCATTCACTAGGCCGTTTTTTATTCATCATTGTTATCTCTGTGTTGCTTGATGTGGATACTACAGAAGATCTTGCACTTGTTGCCCTGCTTGTTGTGAAACAAGCCCTAAAATCAGTGCTAACATCCACTGTCTGATTAACTGTGACTGTACAACCTGCTGCATCTGTCACTGATTTGGGACACGGTCCTTCCGTATTGCAAAAGTGTGCTTTACTGATGGTATTGCCATTAGCAACTTTTAGGGAGCCACTTTCTTCTACTGCCTGATTATCTCTGATTGCAGACCACGGTAGAGTAATAGAAACATCTAAGGCTAGGTTAGGGGTGCTTTGTAGGCTTTCATAATGTGAATACCCACAGGCAGAAATTACTGAATCATCAAAAACAGAGGATGTCTGACAATCTTTACAAGGCTGGAGTAAACTCTCTAAATCTTTGTCCTGAGGCAATGTGCCTGGATTGTCAAGGTGCTGTAACATTTTGTCCTCGACAATTAAATTTCCAGTAGAATCTTTACTTTCAGTTAATTTAGGGCTCATTTTGCAAGCATAAATTTTAGTTTTTGATGCTTTCTGAGGGTTTAGAAAACCCGCAGATTGAGACCCCTTGTGCTCAGGATGACTGCTCCTGAGCACAACTTCATCCAGTACTGTGTGAAGCAGTAAACTAGCCCCTTGCTCCTTACCCTTTTCATGCTTAGGTGCGGGAAATGCTCTCAACGTAACAGAATTCTGAAACTTGGAGACACCAGGTGAATCTTCTCGTCCATAAACATCAACTGAATCTGAAGAGATGCTGGAATTACTTTCCAATTTAACATGACTGTTTTCTAGATTGCTAGCACATTTAACTTCACAGCCTGAATTTCTTAATCCCCAAACTTCCAGGTTAGGCATGTCTAATGTTTTTGCCTGGTCAAATGATAAATGGTTATTTATATTCTCTTGTTCTTCTGCACTGTGATATTCTTGCTGTGAGTCTTCAACTCTATCAGGCTTTTGCGTATCTTCAGCAGTTTTTTCATAGTCATTATATGAAATCTTGTAGATTCTTTCCAAGTCAGTAGTCTTATTACCTTGATATTCCAAAATATCAAAAAACACCTCTTCTCTTTTCTGCATTTCAGAATCTAATTCTGAATTTAAATGAATAAGACTTTCATTCTTTAGTTTTGACTCTGAATAATGTATAGTGTAGGTTTCATTCAAGAAAGCATAGTCAATACTATCTTCAAATTCACTTGACTGAGAGTGAGCACTCTCTATGTTAGTATCGGGACTTGTGGTAAAAGATGGCTCCAATAAATCTATTTTGTCAATATTGCTGATTTCTTTGTCATTAGGTCTTTTTTCTAATGCCAAGGAATCACAGTAATCATTATGAAAAGTCAATTTGGCTTCTTTACAACCATTAGGAGATGACAAATTTTCTTTCTTAGGATTAGAAGGCTTATCTGATTAAAAAAAATAAAAAACGATAAAATGTTAGCAACATCACAGAATTTAAACATAAGACCTTAGTCTGGCCCAAGCGCTTCCCAATGGAGGAATACTTTTTATATTATTCATGACAAATATCCCTAAGTAATTGCTATTATGGACTGAATTATGTTTCCTTCAATTTCATATGTGTTGAAGCCCTAACTCCCCATGTGGAGATGGGACATTGGGAGGTAACTAGGCTAAATGAGGTCATGACCCTAAAAATGGGATAAGTGCACATATGAGAGAACAGACAGCAGACAGCTTTCTTTTTCTCTCCACCATGTGAGGACATTGCAAGAAGGTGGTCATCCACTGATACAAGACAGGAGAGAGCCCTTATCAGAACTGACCATGCTGACACTGATTTGGACTTCCAGCTTCCAGAAGTGTGAAAAAATAAGTACCTGTTATTAAAGGCACCTCAATGGTATTGTGCTATAAGAGCCCCAGCCGACTAAGTAGAATGACTAAGATTACTATTTGCTGAAAAATCCACTATTTCCCTTCTGACTTGAAAAAGAATTTTTATCATGAAGTCCTCTTAACAGTTAAAACTACATGTATTCATAAACACTTAAAGCTTAATCATCTTGCTTTTTATGCCCTTGTTATTTTCTCTTCTACCTTCATGACAGAAAGAGAAATTTTAGATCCATGTAAACAAAAAAATCTTTCCTTGGGTAGCAGAGGTCAACCTGTCCACTTTCCACTTATCACCCTGAAGGCAACTATACCTGTCAGTAGTTCCTGAAAGCCTGGCTGGACATAAACCCTCTCTTCTAGCTCACTTCTCTTTCTTAAATTTTCCATCTACCTGAGAGATCCTGTTTAGGTTGCTCACATTTACCAGCAATCACCTGAGTGATCTGTCAAGTTAAAAACATGCTGAATCTCACCTTACTGGTAGGAAGCCTTAACATATAGCAACACTGGAGAGGGAACTATTAATCTCAAGTCTAATTACATTTAATTATTTCTCTCCATCCAGAATAAAGCCAACCAGATTGGTCTCTTACCTTTCTGAATGTTTCTTCCATTATTGTAGTAGCCTTTATTAGAAGCTATCTCGACCACTGCAGTAGATTGCATCACTCAAGGATGTATATTCTAGAAGAGGTATAAATACTGAACTATGATACTCAGCATATATTTTAAAAACTATTAGAAAAATGAGAATTTGACAGAGTAGTAATTATAGTCAAATATTCTAATATCAGAGGGCTAATAAAACAGCAAAACATTTTAATAACTTTTTAAAAGACATGAACAGAGAGCTACAATAAAAGATTATATCATTTAAATATCATGTGTGCATGCATGATCAGTCACTCAGTCATTTCTTACTCTGTGACCCCCATGGACTGTAGCCCGCCAGGCTCCTCTGTCCATTGGATTTTCCAGGCAAGAATACTGGAGTGGGTTGCCATTTCCTCCCCCAGGAGATCGAATCCATGTCTCCCGAAGTTCCTGCATTGGCAGGTGGATTCTCTACCACTAAGCCAACTTGGAAGCCCATTATTTAAACAGATAAGACATACTCTTTTAGAATTTTCAAGGAACATTTGGAAAATGTATTAGGCTACCAAAAGCAGAAAAGTTCTAGGCCAAGTGAACAAAACTCTAACCTGAATCATAAAAAGTCATGGCTCCTCAATCAATTCCCAGACCTGTGTAGAGACCTAGAACTCCTTAAATGAAGGGGAGGCTGGGTCTTCTTGAGGAAGAACCCCAAATATGCTACTAAAAACACTCTTCCCTAAATGGCCCCTATAGCCTTCTTCTGGGGTAACAGTACACTGGGGAAACAGTTGTTAACCTTTGGGGTTATAGACTTTCTGCAGATTTTATAAAAGTCTGATAAAATGCACATACACATATACATACACATATAATTAAAGGATTTATGGACTGCTATACTACATTTAAAAGCAGAAAGTTTATAACTCCTGGCTTAAGGGATTTTAATTAAGTCAATAAAGATTCTACTCTAAGAATGCCAGGTAAATATTTAAAATAAAGAGTAGATGTAAAGAAAGCCAGTTTATCAAAATAATTAACATTAAAAAGAAAAGTGATTTCTTTGCTTACTTTGCATTCTCAGGAATTGTTCACACCCTTAAAAAGTATTGAGAATCCCAAGGAATATTTGTTTATGTGGGTAATATCTATTAACACTTATCATATTATAAAGTAAAACAAAAACTTTCAAAATTTCAAATACTTAATATTTATTCATAAACAACCCACTACTTAACACAGTGTATGCTCAGTTGCTTCAGTGGTATCTGACCCTATGTGACGCTATGGACTGTGGCGCGCCAGGCTCCTCTGTCCATGGGATTCTCCAGGCAAGAATGCTGGAGTGGGTTGCCATGTCCTTCTCCAGGGGATCTTCCCAACTCAGGGATCAAACCTGTGTTTCCTGCACTGCGGGCAGATTCTTTATAGCCTGAGCCACCACCATGCATTCAGTTCAGTTCAGTCGCTTAGTGTCTGACTCTTTGCGACCATGAATCGCAGCATGCCAGGCCTCCCTGTCCATCACCAACTCCAGGAGTTTATTCAAACTCATGTCCATCGAGTTGGTGATGCCATGCATTAGGGAAAGGCAAATAAAAGCCACAATGAGATAACACTTTACACCTACTAAGATGGCTATAAAAAAAAAGAGAGAGTTAAGTATTGGTAAGGAATGGGGCTTCTCAAATGGCTCAGTGGTAAAGAATCCACCTGCCAATCCAAGGCGAGTTTGATTCTTGGGTCAGGAAGATCCCTGGGAGAAGGAAATGGCAACCCACTCCAGTATTCTTGCCTGGGAAATCCCATGGACAGAGAAGCCTGGCGGGCTACAGTCCATGGGATACAAGAGTGGACACAGCTGAGCAACTGAGCCTGTGCACACACACACACAGGCAAGGAAATGGAGAAACTGGAACCCTCTTACATTGCTGGTGAGAATGTAAAATGGTACAGCCATTTTGGAAAACAATCTGGTAGTTCTTAAAAAAAAAAAAAAAAAGAATAACTACATGATCCAGCAATTCCATTCCCAGGCATATACTCCTTTTTATTCTGCTCTCCCAGCTCTCATTTTCCAAACCATTCCCTCCTTCCTGTGTTTTCAATCCTAGAAGCAAACCATAAACTGCTTTCCTTTGATACCTCCCTCATCCATACCAGGTCCTGTCAGTGACCCACCAGAACCTGACACCTTTTAGTCCAGGGACTGCTGACTCTTAACGTGGATCTGAGCAACAACCTCTACCCGGCCAGAATAATCTTTCCTAAATGCAGATCTGATCAGTTCACCCTCCTACTTAAAGCCAAGCAACAGACTGGCATCATTCCTTGGAGAGTGATTAAAATCTTAGTACCGTCTTCCCCCCTCCACGGGCCTGGGCCCCGCATTCACCTTGGCACTTGTGGGACACACACACACACACACACACACACACACACACTTCCTTACACAGGCTGCGCCAAGCGCGTTCACCTTGGCACTTGTGGGTTTCACACAAACACACGTACTTCCTCACACAGGCTACGTCAAGCGCGTTCTTCTCCTGGCCTCCAACCACCTACAATTCCTGCTCAACCTTCCGATCTCACTCCCAGTAACCGTTTCTTAGGGAAATTTTCCTGGCCCTTCACACAGCAGCAGGAACTTCTGTCAGTTTGGACAACACCCCACGCTTTTGCCATCCATCCCCCGCATTTTGGACACTAATGTCCAGCGTCCACTTCTGGCTCTGGACAGTGTCTCACTTGCTGCTGTACGGTGCCCGCCTGCTCTAGAGACTCCGCTCGTGTTTGTCACAACGATAAACACACGAGCGAATTTCCCCCTTTCTCCGGAGAATTCAGCGTCCGGCCCTGTCACTCGGCTCTAAAAGAGCTTTGGGAGCGCAAGACCCCGACTCGGGGCCTGCTAAGCGAGGCTGGGGGACTCACTTGGAACCGAATGCAAAGGTACCAAATTGGGGGATTCTAGAACTCCAAGGCCATCCGACGGACGCGCAAACCCCGCGGACCACGATGGCACCCCCAGACCCCGGCCGCTTCCCCTCAGGGCCCGCGGGAGGAGCCCTCGACTGCCTCCTCACACCGCGCAACCCTGGGCGGGGACAGACCCTCGGCGGGGACCTGTCACAACTAGGCTTCGCTACCCCGTCTGCTCACGCCCCGGCCTCCGCTCTGGCCAGCCGCAGCCGCCCGCCGCACCTCAGAACCGCGCTGTTGCCGCCGCCACGCGTGAAGCCTCCAGTGGCGAGCGCCGCTTCAGAGAAAGTGCTGCTCCGCGTGCAGCCGCGGGGCCCGTCGGGTAACGGCCGGCGGCTCCAGCCCGCCGCCTGGTGGGGCTCTCCCATTGGTCAGGGTGCATAGGATCGGCGCCGTGATTGGCCGGGCGTGCAGACCGGAAGGCGGGAACGAGGTCGCCCGCTGTGATTGTGCGCCGGCTGGCGGCGGGAGGCAGCGACGCCCAGCGGAACTTTAACTGCTCTGTAGCCCGCGACCCTTGACTCTCATGTGGACGGCGCGGCTGTGCAAAGCCACGGGGAGAAAGAGCTGGGCGGCGCCACACCCTCGCGCAGAGGCCCCACTGCCTCCTGTGTTGGGCTTGGTACTCTCCGAGTCCCGCTCCCACAGAGTCGGGACAACCACGCCCGACCGCCCTCCTCGGGCAGCTGTCCCCACAGACCTGTGTCCTTTCGTGTCTAACTCAACCTGTCCTCCCACGGGCAGTGTTTATCATTAGCAGGAACAGGGTTGGGGTGAGAGAACTTGGCCTCGGGCTCAAAATTTGCGGGGGGCGGGGGGCAGGGCGGGCGTCAAAACCCTGGGTAATCAAGATAAATCATATTGTAACGCGTCGTTTAAGGAAATCAAACGTAATGAAAAATCCAAATTGGACAAAATAGCCATATCAGTACTCCTAATTTTTCCTTTTGCCTCCAGCTCTAATATGGCTCCTCAAGGGACCATTATCCTGTCTTTAAAATGAGCATTTTTCCATCATTTTGTGTGTGTTGATTTTGACTTTTGCTTAAATCATTTCGTTTAAAATCGTTTAATGTTGCAATGCCTTCCCGGGTGGCGCTAGTGGTAAAGAATCTGCCTGCTGATGCAGGAGACGCTAAAGAGAGGTGGGTTGGGTCCCTGGGTCAGGAAGATCTCCTGAAGGGGGAAATGGCAACCCACTCCAGGATTCTTGCCTGGAAAATTCCTTGGACAGAGGAGCCTGGCGGGCTACAGTCCATGGGGTCACAAAGAGTCAGACAGGACTATACGCACCCCCACCCCCCCACACACATAGATTGCATTAACATCAGTTTTTGGATGCCACCTCCAGTTATTACCCCCTAGCCTTGGGGCAGCGGGATTTTTGCTCCTAGTAGTTTCTGGTGTCTCTGTGTGTAGCTTGCAGCACTGCCTTTCCTGTCAGGCAACTCTTATATAATCGATTTGGGGCTTCCATAATTTTGATGTGAAGTGTTATATTTTGATGAAATTTGTCAATCAATCCGTTTGTGATTTAATGTAGTGATTTTACCCCATTTCAAATACAGAATAATGGTATTTGCACAATAGTTTTTATGTGCTTTTATGATTTGATTACTTTAACATTTCCTTTATTTCTTATAACTGAAACACTTTAACTTACTAAAGTCACATGAATTTAATGCAGAAAAATGTGAAGAAGAGAATAGAAAGTCCTTGTAATCCTGCTTCTCACGGAGCCTCCCTTTGTTTTTTGGGAGTGCTACATAGGAAGTTATAATTGGAATCTTCTCCCATGTGGACTTTCGTGTCCTTATGCATATTTATCTCTATTCAGGAGCTGCTAACATTTTGTTTTCTTATTCCACAAACACCTGCTGAGGTCTCACTGTGTATCTGGAAGACCAAGGAGTACAAAACTTAAGGCAATTCCTCTGAAGGAGCATACAGTCTAGCTGATACCAGAGAGAAATCACTGGGAGCTTAAATGTGTGGAATAGACTGAGATGCCACAAGAGTGGGGTCAATTTGTAGAGCTCCTTTAATGGCATGGAAGCCACACTGGGAATTCTCAGGAAATGCAGTGGGAAAATATGGCAGAGAAAAACCATGAGTGCCCTTGTGAGTTAGGCTGGCTGTCCAGGGACCTGTCTGTCATTTCACCTTTGTATCCATAACATCTGGCAGAGGCTACTCACTGCTCCAAACTGTCTTTTATCAAAATTATCTAGGTTTGCAGTATGACAGACAACAATTAGAATAATTTTGTGAGAGTACCTCCCAAAAACTCAAAGTGATTTTCATAAGAAACATGTTAAATCTATAAATTTAGGGGAAAGTTACATCTTTATGATATTTATTCTTACTATACATCTCTGTAGTTTTTCATGTCTTACATTTCTGAGCAGAATGTATAGATTTCCTTGGGCTTCCCGGGTGGTGCTGTGGCAAAGAATCCACCTGCCAATGCAGGAGACGTGGATTCAGTCTCTGGGTTGGAAGATCTCCTGGAGTAGGAAATGGCAACCCAATCCAGTATTCTTGCCTGGAAAATTTCATGGACCGAGGAACCTAGCAGGCTACAGTCTGTGGGGTTGAAAAGAGTCAGACACGACTGAACACACATACACAGATTTCCTTAATATAGGTCCTTATATTTTTAAGGCTATTACTGTTTTGTTGTGGGGAGAGTTACTCTTCACCATTATGAAGGAGATCCCCAATGAAATTATCTAAATCTAACTAGTCAGTGTTGATATATAGGAAAGCTATTGATTTCTGTGCATGCATAACTTATCTTAATATTTTAAGGAACTTTATTTTCTTGGGCTCCAAAATCACTGCAAATGGTGACTGCAGCCATGAAATTAAAAGATGCTTGCTCCTTAAACAAAAAACTATGACAAACCTAGACAGCATATTAAAAGGCAGAGACATTACGTTGCTGACAAAGGTCCAACTAATCAAAGCTATGGTTTTTCCGGTAGTCACGTATGGATGTGAGAGTTGGACTATAAGGAAGGCTGAGCACTGAAGAATTGATGCTTTTGAAGTGTGGTGTTGGAGAAGACTGTTGAGAGTCCCTTGGACTGCAAGGAGATCAAACCAAACAATCCTAAAGGAAATCATCCTGAATATTCATTGGAAGGACTGATGCTGAAGCTGAAGCTCCAATACTTTGGCCACTTGATGCAAAGAACTGACTCATTTGAAAAGACCCTGATGCTGGGAAAGATTGAGGGCAGGAGGAGAAGGGGACGACAGAGGATGAGATGAGATGGTTGGATGGCATCACTGACTCAATGGACCTGAATTTGAGCAAGCTCCAGGAGATGGTGAAGTACAGGGAAGTGAATCTTCCCAACCCAGGGATCAAACCTAGGTTTCCCACATTTCAGGCAGATTCTTTACCAACTGAGTCACCAGGGAAACCTGTGTAATGCTAGAAAAGTATTAGCTTTTGTAATATTCAGCCATCTACAAACCCTGTTTGTTGAAAAGTCTTTTACCATGTTGTAGAATCTGACTTTAAAATTTTACTTATGGTTTTCCATCTATACTGATAAATAAGATTGAACTGTAGCAGGTAGTAGGCCATGAAATTGTATTCTCTGTTCTGCCCCCTACTCTCATAAGCACTGTAATGAGTAGTCAAAAGCATTATGAAGGTTGTGATCAAAGTTAATAACATAACAAGAATGTTATTTTCATTTATGATTAGAAACAGTCTTGTTAATCTTTTAAAAGTGGGGAAAATTATCTTCATAAATTTGCATAACTGGCCTTTACACTTCCTAGATGGTGCTAGTGGTAAAGAATCTGCCCACCAATGAGACGAGAGTTGATCCCAGGATTGGGAAGATCCCCTGGAGTAGGGAATGGGAACCCACTCCAATAAGCTTGCCTGGAAAATTCCATGTTCAGAGGAGGCTGGCAGGATACAGTTCATGGTGTCACAAAGAGTCAGACACAACTAAGTGACTAAGCATAGGACTCCGAAAGAAAGAAAAATAGTGGAACAAGAAAATTCTGATGAACAAGATAGTGAGGAGTGAGTGGTTTGATGAATTGTTATGGTTTTGCTGATGGGCTCGTGATGTGGTGACCACACTTGAAGAACACTTGGAGATGGTCTAGGTTGGTCCCCTCAAGCAAAAATGAGCCTCAGTTTGCAGCTTGCAAGGCCTTTTGTAAAGATTAAAGAATGGAATCTTGCTCTCTGGACAGTGCAGGGTCAAGATTTGAAGAACATCATGGAAAGGGATGCTGGGCTGCCTCTGGAGGCAGGCTTGGGAGCAGACTCAGGCAAAGAATTCACATGCTTGTGCCTGGTCTTGTAGCTACAGCAGTAATTTCTAAATTGTGCTCTGCAGAGTCTTTGTCCCAGAAGGTTCTGAAAAAAGCAGTTTCCATGATCAAACAGTTTGGGAAATTGTACCTCGTCCATTTCTCTTTTAAGAATGCCCAATGACATTCACAAGTAAATGCTCCTCGATAAGCAAACTCTTTGACTGTTATCACTGTTACTGAGGAATATTTATTTATAGAATTCTTTTCATCTGGAGCCCTTACTAACATTCCCAGGAATTAGTGATTATGGCTTGGGAAACACTAGGCCTACAGGAATAGTTGTAGTCGGAATAACGAAGAAGCAACATGTGCTACCATTTGTTGAATGCTGTGCAGCAAACACATCTGAGCACTGGACCCCTGCTGCTGAACTAGCCCTTGATCTCACTGTGGAGCAGAATGCTTATGGGGAGGGGCTGGAGTCTAGTTCTAATCCAGGGCCCTCCATTTTGTCACTGTGTCCCTTTAAGGAAGGTACCTGATTTCTCAGTGCCTTGGTGCCCTTATTTATAAAATGGAGGTAGCTGGAGAACCCACCTCAGTGGATGATTGCAAAGACTAAATATGATTCTAGATGTGATGGAGGTGGTGACATCATCAGATTTTTAAAAAATTTTAGCCTAATAGATTGGAAGTGTGAGGAAGACTGGGACAGGGACCCAGGGAAGGGTAGGCTGCCAGTGACAGTGGCTTGGCCCAGAGGAATAGCTTGGTCCAGATGGGAAAAGGATGGACTTGTGACAACCTTTGTAAGAAGAATTGATAAAGCTGGGTGCCTGAGATGAGCATGGAGATGGGTGAGGAAGGAGGGATCAAAAATGATACTTGGGTCTCTGACTAGAGTGGTAGCCTGGATAATGGTGCCATTGTAGTGATTAGAATCTGGGGAAGAGGAGCATGCGACTGGGACTGGCAATGGAGGGGAACAAAGAATTCAGTTTATATAGAAGACTTGGCTATG